ACACACACACACACACACACACACACACACACACACACACACACACACACACACCCTGTATTTTAGGAAGCTTCCTCAGCACGGGGTTTCCATATGGCTTTTCCAAAGGTTTTTAGTTTTAGTTATCCCACTCAGCCAACACTCCCTCTTCTACCTTGCTATCTGATCCCCACTCCACTTAACATTAAACTCAATGGGTCACAATGAGGACTTGAGAGTAGGAGGAGGACTTGTTGGCAAGGAGAAGGGGTTTGGCTGAAGTGGAAGGGAGATAATCGATGGTTAAGGGTGTGTGTGGGGGGAGTAAATGTGATCAAAATACATTATATACATTTATCAAATGATCAAAGAACAAAATATTTTAAAAGATCATCATATGCTTATGCACTCACCACTGGAGGAACAAAGGAAACAAAGCATTAGATTGTGCCTGTCAACTTTTTGCAATTAACTTGTATAATATTTTAAGAGAAAGAATATGAAAAGATCAGCAGAAATGGAGGAAGAGAATTTATATTTGTTAATGCTATCCAATTGTCAAAATACAAGTAAAATAGAAACTAACAGAAATGGGTTAATTTTGTTGTAAGAGCTAGTTAATAATAATCCTTAGCTAATAATCCAAACAGTTTGTAATTAATATTAAGCCTGTAAGTGGTTATTTGTCAACAGTCAAATAGCTGTAGGAGCATGGGCTTGTATCTGTGTCCTCAATTCTGTTCCACTAATCAATATGCTTTTTTTTTAGGTGTTCATTTTATTTTGTGTGTACGTGTTTGTGTGTGGCTATGTGCACAAGCCAGAGACATTGGATTCCCTGGAACTAGAGTTACAGGCTGTTGTAAACTGCTTAAAACGCATGCTGGGAATCAAACTCCAGCCCTATATAAGAGCAGTATGTGAAACAAGTGAAAGATCTGTATAGCAAGAACTTTGAGTCTTTAAAGAAAGAAATTAAAGAAGATACCAGAAAATGGAGAGATCTCCTATGCTCTTGGATCAACACAATAAAAATGGCAATCTTGCCAAAAGCAATCTACAGATTCAATGCAATTCCAATCAAAATACCAGAACAATTCTTCACACACCTTGAAAGAACAGTACTCAACTTATATGGAGAAACAAAAGATCCAGGATAGCCAAAACAACCCTGTATAATAGGGGAATTTCTGGAGGCATCACAATCCCAGGTTTCAAGCTCTATTATAGAGTTATAGTCCTGAAAACAGCTTTGTATTGGCATAAAAATAGACAGACAGACCAATGGAATCGAATTGAAAACCCTGATATTAACTCACATACCTACGAACACCTGATTTTTGACAAAGAAACTAAAGTTATACAATGGAATAAAGAAAGC